TTGTGTTTACTAACCCTCCTTTGTTATTTCTTTTGCCGTGAAAGTATCCATTGCTTTCAAGAAGTGGAAAGATGAATAGACTAATATATGAATCGCGTGACCTGGGCCTCAACAAGGTGGCATTGGATGATCTTCCGGGTGGACCAGAGGCCTTTGAGCTTGCAGCAAAATTCTGCTATGGCATAGCTGTTGATCTAACAGCTGCCAATATCTCTGGCCTAAGATGTGCTGCAGAGTACCTTGAAATGACAGAGGACTTGGAAGAAGGCAATCTTACTTTCAAGACCGAAGCATTTCTCAGTTATGTGGTGCTATCCTCGTGGAGAGATTCTATAGTGGTATTGAAAAGCTGTGAGAAGCTCTCACCATGGGCAGAGAATCTTCAGATTGTTCGAAGATGTAGTGAGTCCATCGCTTGGAAGGCTTGCGCAAATCCTAAAGGAATAAGGTGGGCATACACTGGAAAACCCCCTAAAGTTTCTAGTCCAAAATGGAATGAGATGAAGGGTTCAAGTCCTAGTAGAAACACGCAAGTTCCGCCTGATTGGTGGTTTGAAGATGTTTCAATCCTTAGGATTGATCACTTTGTTAGAGTCATTACTGCAATCAAGGTAAAGGGGATGAGGTTTGAATTGATTGGAGCTGCTATAATGCATTATGCAGGAAAGTGGCTTCCAGGTTTGATTAAAGATGGGGGAGGTTCTATAGATGAAGCAGGCAATAGTAGTGGTTGCAGTAGTTGGAAAGGTGGACTCCATATGATTGTGGCAGGAACTAAAGATGACATCCCAACAGCTGAAACCAAAGATCAACGGATGATCGTCGAGAGCCTGATCAGCATAATTCCACCACAGAAGGATAGTGTCTCTTGCAGCTTCCTTCTTCGCCTGCTGAGAATGGCAAACATGTTGAAAGTGGCACCTGCTCTGGTAACTGAATTGGAGAAGCGCGTAGGAATGCAGTTCGAACAGGCTACATTGGCAGATCTTCTAATTCCCTCTTACAATAAAAATGAAACTTCGTATGATGTGGATCTGGTTCAGAGACTTCTCGAGCATTTTCTGGTTCAAGAGCAGATAGAAAGTTCAAGTCCCACCACACAATCATTTTCTGACAAACATATGTACGACGGAGCTCCAAGGTGTGCCAATCCAAGTGCCAAGATCAGAGTAGCAAGGCTTGTTGACAGTTATCTTACAGAGGTGTCCAGAGATAGAAACCTTTCGCTAACAAAATTCCAGGTGCTGGCAGAAGCTTTGCCTGATTCTGCAAGGACCTGTGACGATGGACTATATAGAGCAGTTGATTCCTATCTTAAGGTAATTCCATCCACTCTCTTTTTATTATTCACAGCATTTATTTTTATCACTCTGCAAGAATGAAGCTGCATACAAATTTGAGCCTATGTACTAGTTCTAAACCTTACGCTGTAACATTTAAAGTATAATAACTTGAAATAGAGAGTGCTTACCAGAGTTCTAGACACAGAACCAGGTTGTGCACCTGTTGATAAGTAGGCATGTCAATGCATAAATGCAGACATAGAGGATATGATAATTGGAAATAAATTATAAATCTGAAAAATTCATACCTGCGGGTCAAAAAGAAAAAAAACATATCATCATATATAGTGCCCCCCCTTGTAAAACCATGACCACAGGCAGACATTTCTTTCCATCATTATTAGAGATAGCTCATCAGGATAGTGAAAGGAGTAACAACGTCAAAAATGTATATATAATCTTGAAGGAGCAAATAGTAAGCTGTTTCTAATTAAGAAACTAAAATGCGATTAGGAATGAGTAGAAATGGAAGCCTAGTTGCTCGAAGAAAGCTTGCAAGGAAAGAAATGAAATTGTAGATAGTCTGGAAATCATTTTGAGGATGTTCAAGTATTCTATACTTCAGAAATATTATCAGAATGAATGCCCACATGTTAAGCAGTTTCTGTATTGTTATTACTCAACAGGCTCACCCAACACTGTCTGAGCATGAAAGGAAGCGCCTCTGTCGTGTGATGGACTGTCAAAAACTGTCAATTGATGCCTGTATGCATGCCGCTCAAAATGAAAGACTACCACTTAGAGTTGTAGTCCAAGTACTCTTTTCTGAACAGGTAAAAATAAGCAATGCATTAGCAAACAATTCCCTGAAAGAAACTGGTGAAACTCAGTACCAACCTATGATATCAAACCGAAAATCTCTACTTGAAGGGACGCCACAATCATTCCAGGAAGGATGGGCAGCAGCCAAGAAGGACATTAACTCACTCAAGTTTGAACTCGAAACCATCAAGGCTAAATATCATGAGCTCCAAAATGATATGGACATTTTGCAGAGACAGTTTGATAAATTGACAAATAAGAAACAGGCGTCAGCATGGACCACGGGGTGGAAGAAACTAAGCAAATTCACCAAGATGACAACTTTGGAAAGCCATGATATCGATCCTCAGTTTGCTACAGTTCCTGGAGAACATACTAGGAAGACAACTAGAAGGTGGAGAAATTCTATTTCCTGAAAGGTGATATAGTTCATTTTGATTCTGTTTTCCTAGTGTTTACTTTTATTTTCTTTCTACTTCTTTGTTTCTTTGGAAGTGCAGGGTTTCGTTCTTTCTATTTTTATTCAATTTTCAGAAATTACCTTGAAAAAATTAGTGCAAGTCCAATTTGTTACCAAAGTATGCTTTTGTGTCATCAATGAGTTGTTAATTCTCAATTAAAGTGTACTTGGTTTTCGAAGGAAGACTCCTAATTGCAATACACTGGGTGAACTACATAGTGTCACTACATTTATGTACCTCCCCCAACTCCAAAGAGATCAAACAGAGGGAAAACCACAATAGAAGTGAAAGAACATAAAATGTATAGAATTGATCCATGGAAAGGAAAAACATAAAATGATTTTTGGATGGACACTGAAAGAACATGATGAGATATTTCCTTTGATCACCATAAAAAAAGTGGGCAGCATAGTTTTTTGATGCATCATATTTGTGCCTGTAGAAATCAAGCATTTCACCAGCTAGATAGCAAAGAACAAGATTTTGATGCTGTTAATTACAAGATGAATGATATCATCTGCTAAAATTTGTGTTCCATAATTAGAAATTTCCTGAAAAGATGATTTTGGATGCGAAGTGCTAACCACCAAACAAGGCCCTCTGATGTACTGGACTGGCATCTGCCAGAGACCATGCTATGAATGTACTTGCAGGGAAAATTTATAGCATCCAAAAGAAGGGAATCTTCTCAAGATCCTCTATTGGAAGGAGTTGCTCCAAGGTTCCTAGAATGGCCATGATAAAAGGACATGAAATTAGCCTACGCTGGTATGTTCTTAGTGTCTTTGATTGAAAGGCCCTATGTTTCCACATGAAATCCTGAAGTATGAAAGAGGCAACGAGTGGTGATAATAGAATTCACAATTGGGTCCACAGCTCCAAGCTGATATAGATTACATTGGAAACAGTAAGAAACAAACACAAAAAGACAAGCCATGCTTTAAATCATATTTCAATGAAAAAGGTATTACTGATGTAACATGTCGAGGCAGGAGACTGCAAATGACAGAATTCAAGTATCAGACAAACCCAGATACGGAAGATCATTAGCTCTCCGCACTCACCTAACAGGTGTGAACAGTGCTATTGACATTGATATCCATAGGTAAATAATGGCAGGCATCTTTGAGATATGGTCCTGAAGGGTTCCTTCAACTTCCAATTCAGAATTGTTTATGGGCGGCAAGCAGTAGGTCCCATGGTACCTTGATCATGGAGGAAGAGTGACAGTGATTAATGATGGTGTTACATTATTTTCAACACAGGAGCAAATATGTTGCTGATCTTGGACATTGTAGGCACTGATTACCATTATTCCATCTATTATGACAAATCCTCGAATAAACCCAGCTGATATATAGCCCACCAAAACTTTCAATCATTGTTGAAACTATGTAGAAGCAGAGTGACAATCTCAGAAATGAAGAGTGCATAATCAAGTAGCAAATTAACAGGAAGAATATATAAAATCTCTAGTATTTCTTCAGGAGACTCATTACAAATAAGCAGTTAAACAAGAAATCAGCTCAAGCATACAAAATCCTTTCCAGCAATCCAGGTTGTTCTATTTTATCCTTAATTCAGATGCCAACGTTTACTTTCAGAAGATGCTGAAGGCAGTGATACCTTGAAAGTGCCTTTAACAGCATAGCTGGGAGACAAGATGACGTGCCCTAGTGTGACCATTTACCGAAGCAATTGCTTTTCAAGTGGCACCACTAGCTAGCTACGTGACAACATCACCAGCTTGGACTTGTTACCACAGAATTGTTTAGTCACCATCTACTGAACAAATGGTATAAACAGAAGGATGGATGATATGCACTGCCAGGGAATTCAATATCGTATAAAGGCACCAAGCCGCCAATCATAACTAAACAGTAGAATAGATGTTATAGGTAAGATACAGAAGGTGTAAAGATTCTAAGAAAGGATGAGAAATTCAAACCTGCCCCATGGAGATGGCTGTACTTCCTTTGGCTATCAATGTATATGGGCTGTTGGTCAGAAAGAACACTTTAATTACAGAGAACCATCTCAATCTCACACTAGTGTTAGGATACTAGTATACAAATTCAATAAAATAAAAGATATAGTAAAATAAAAAATAAATCACATGAAAATTTAAATGATTTATTCTATTTGGTTATGTTTACATGCAAGTATAAAAGGACTTTACTAAATAATATAAGAATTACAACCTTTCTCTTCTAATAAAAGAACTACTAAAATCTCTCTATTATTAAGAAAAAACACATCACTTACTTTCCTTACAAACATCTCATAATTTTATAGAATTATTTTTCCTCTCTCACTCTCATCTGCTTCTCTCTAATGATATATATTTAAAGTTTGGATGTATAACCTATTTATAAGCAAGAGTGAGGGGACAAAGGTCATAGATCATGACACGAATTACTCCAATAATTATGCCAACAATTCATCTCCACTCATACTCCACTAATTATGCCAACTCATCTCCCACTTATTTTTATCTAACAACTATCTTCCACTAATTAGGTGGATTTAATTAAGTGGCTTTACATTTTTACACTTGAAGACTTTGATGATTTAATCAAGTCTTCACAATTGATCATTTGTGATTCTTCTATCTTTTCTATACTTGTCATCTTCAGGCCGCTCACGTTTCTGCTAGGCCATAAGAGGATCTGCACCATATAACTTATTAGTATTGACTGGTTTGGTCAAAGCATCTGCTGAGTTTTTCTTTCTGTGAACCTTCTAAAAATCCATATTTTCATCTTTCATCACTTCGCAAACAAATTGATACTAAACATCTATGTGTTTTGTTCTTGAATGAAATGTTGGATTCGTTGAAATATGCAAGACACTTTGATTATCACAATATATAAAAGAATATTCTTTTATTTGTACTCGAACTCCTCCATAAGTTCATATATATTATTTCTTTACAAGCTTATGCAGTTGTCATATACTTAGCTTATATTGTGGATAACGCTATAATAGTCTGAAATTTAAAAACCTAACTCACAGCTCCTCCTTTAATTATAACACATAACTTGTAGTGGTTTTTTTTTTATTAAGGTCACCAGCAAAATCTAAATTAACATAACCTCTAATAGTAAATTTTGATCCTCCATAATATAATACGACATCTGAGGTACCCTTGATGTATCTTAAGATCCTTTAAATAGTATTTCAATGCTCTCTACCAAGATTTGTCATGTATCGACTAACTGCTTCCACTACTTGTATAATGTTTGGTCTTGTACATATCATGACAAATATCAAACTTCTCACTATTGATACATATGGTACTCGAGATTTCTACATCCTCTCTGCTTCATTGCTAAGAGACATACTTGAGGATAATTTGAAGTTAATAGAAAGTGGGGTGGAAATTGGCTTACAATCTTACTTGTTGAAGAGTCGCAAGATCTTTTTCAAATAATTCTTCCAAGAAAACCAAATCTTCCTCTTACTTTTGTTTTGGTGAATTTGCATCCTTAAAATCTTGTTTACCGGTCCTAAGTACTTTATATCAAACTCCCTTGCCAACTGTGCCTTTAATTCTTAGATTCGATCTTTCTTTGGATTTATTACTAATATGTCATATAGTACAACAATAGAATGATGAAATCATCATCTTCTTCAAACCTCTTGTAATACATACTATGGTCTGAACTGAGTCTGTTGTATTCAAGGCTAATTATGAAGGAATTAAATCTCTTGTACCAATACCTCGGTGCATGTTTAAGACTATATAGAGATTTGTTCAACTTGCAAACTAAGTTTTCTTTGTCTATCTAAGCAAAACTCTCTGGTTGGAGCATATAAATTTCTTCTTCAAGTTTTCTATGAAGAAAAGTAGTTTTCACATCTAACTGCTCTAAGTGAAGATCAAATATAACACATATTGTCAATATTACTCTGATTGTAGCAAGTCATACCACTGGGAAAAATATCTCATTGAAGTCTATTCCTTTTTTCTGAGCATATCCTTTCACCACCAATCTTGCACGATATCGCTCCACTTGATCCTTGTCATCATACTTTATCTTATAAACCTATTTGTTGTCAATGGTCTTTCTTTCTTGTGGTGGTTGAACAAGATACCAGGTGTTATTCTTGTGTAGAGCATCAATATCCTCTTGCATTGCTATCATCCATATAGATACATCTATACTTTTAATAGCTCATGAAACGTTGATGGCTCTCCATCCTTTGTTAGAAGACAGTATACAATGTTGCTCTCAGTAACATATTCTGAGTGCCAAGCCGATGGTCTTCTTTCACGAGTTGACCGCCGAACTTTAGGAGTTTCAGACTCTATTTGTTCTTGTTCTTTATGCTCTAGTTTAACTTTAGAAGAAGTATGATTTTAAGTATTTTTCATCTAGACTATTATACTCTCTTTTAAAATGTTATTATGTTTTTGTATTTGTATTTTATCTTCTGCAAATATGACATCTCTATTGATGACTATCTTGTGGGGTGGGCAGTGGGATCCCACAAGCGATACCCCTTCACTCCATCAGTATATCCCAAGAATACATATTTTCTGAATTTTAAATCCAGTTTGTTGACTCGTTAAGTATTATATATCACATACACAAGACTTCCAAATATATGCAATTGAGAATAATCAACTGGCTTTCCAGTCCATATCTCCATTGGTGTCTTTAGCTTAATTATAGTTGAAGGAGATCAATTTATCATATAGCAAGCGGTATTGATTGCTTCTAACCAAAATGACTTTTCTAGACTTGCAGCCTTTAACATTACTCTTGTTCTTTCTAATAGAGTTTTGTTCATCCACTCTGCAACTCCATTTTGTTGTGGAGTGTATGTCGTTATGAACTGTCTTTTAATACATTCATGTTGACAAAAGTTATCAAATTCATCATTGGTATATTCTCCTTTATTGTCAGTCCTCAAACACTTGATCTTCTTTTCAGATTCAAGTTCTACCCGCGCTTTGAAAGTTTTAAATCCTACAAGCACATCTGTCTTCCTTCTAATTGGATATACCCCACATCTCCTAGAGAAGTTATTTATAAATGATACAAAGTATCTTGCTCCTCCCAATTATACAACCGGTGCTTACCAAACATCAGAGTGAATCAAATCTGAGATGCATTTGTTCTTAGTTGTTGATGTGCCAAACTTCAACTTGTGTTGTTTACTTGTAACACAGTAC